GTATGTGTATGAGTTATAAATTGCGAAAAAATTATAGTATACCTTGAAAATTAATAGAAATGTCCACAAATCAATTTAAAGTGTTTTTATAACAATATAACCTCATAAAATAAGAAAAATCGTCATATCTCGACGGAGAAGCAAGATAGGCCAAAAATACCGATTTCTTACGGGTATTCTGAAGGGGAAATAAAATATTGAGACGCACAAATTGAGGTCTCATTTGTTATGATAACATAACCTCAAATTCGTATTTGCGGTCTATCTTTATGAAATTGGAGTTATAAATTACGAAAAAATTGCAGTACACTTTAATTATTAATGCAGATGTGCACGAAGAAATGTAAAGTGTTTTCATAACAAGATAACCTCAAAAAATTAAAAAAAATACCATATCTCGAAGGAGAAGCAACATAAGTCGGAAATACTAAGTTTATGGGTTTACTAAAGGGGAAAAAACAATCGAAGCGTACAATTTAGTTTGATGAAAACATGATTTTCAGCCATTTCAAATACGAAATTTTGAATAACTCGTAGCAATAACACATATGATTGCTTCTCATATAATTTTCTGTATAAAATGAGTTCAATATTTGATACTTGAAGTTTCACTTCTATCGTGGGTCCCACGACCAATTTTTTTTATTTTTTATTCTATGCCGTCAATTACAAATAATTTTTCCTTATCAATAAGTAAAAAAGTTACAGTACGCGTCCTCAGATTGTGTCATAATGGCTGAAATATTGAAAAAATAAGATTTTGACCAACAAGTCAAAATGTATTTTTTTGTCGAAGCCACTAAGAGAACTGTCATTAGCCCGATTAAAAGAGTTCAAGAAAACTTTATAAAAATAGTCGTTTTTTGCGCTCGTAAAATTACATAAAATACAATAACGTGTTCAAGTGGACGTTTCTCATGTCTATTTTTTAACAGCACAAGATTAATTATAAGTAGAGCCATTTTTTGCTATTAATTAAAAAATTAATATATTATCTTATCTTCATTATTTAACCCGACCATTTTTTAGTAAACAAGGGAAATGAAAATAACACATGTGCATGCAGGATAACCGAACAAAAAATAATTTTGTCTAAAAAAAATCTAAAACTGCTAACTATACTAGAAAGTAGACAGACTGCAAATCTAAGGAAATATCTAAATATGACGAAAAAAGAGATATTATCAGTAAATGCATTTTGATAAATCTGCGTTTGTCTATATTTGATATTTTTCATACACGTTTGCATCATAGATGCGATAAGAGACTGACTTAACTGTTACTAGTATCAAAATATGAAATGCAGATGCACTCTACACGTATTTCACACAAACATCTAGCGCTTTTGATCACTTTACAAATAGTTACAGATTTATAACTATTTTTAATTAAAGGTTTAATAAGTTAATCTTAGTAACATATTATGTGGATTATTGGCTCATGATTGTTATACTGTTTAGTACTTAGTTACAATAATCCTTAATGTTTAAAAGTAGTAATGTACTTGAAAACGGACAGTCTTGTTCATTTATTATTGCCTCACTATTTTTTTACAGGATCCAAAATCGTTCTCAATAGTATTGCTAAAGTGAACTTTTTTTTCTACTTACAATATTCAAAAAACATGAGAAAGATGGAGCTTCACAGGAATAGCAACGTAAAAGTTGTTTTTTCCTATTGTATACCTCCTCTTTATATCTACTATCATTACTCTTGCCATATATTTATGTCGGACGCAAACGGTGTTACACCGTCACAGCGATGAGTTGTATGAGTTATGAGATTTCTTTCTGTTTTTTATTAGTTGTTTTTCGAAGTATTTCTTAATATGTTCCACGTATCAAATTTTAAATAATGGAATAAACAGTTCTTCGAAATGTTAATCTTTTCTTTTTTTTTTTTTTTTGTTTTTTTTTCTTTAAACAGAATCTGAAACAGTTTATAATTAAGTTATTTATACAGAGTTTTATTCTTGTCATCTTTCATTTTTAAATGGTTTTATAACTATGTTATATATTTGGCAACTTTAAAAAAAGACACATAGAGAGTTTTTAGCAATGTCGTCAGTCGTTGAATAAGCACGGTCACCTAGCATCATGTGCCTGTAAATGGTTTGGTGCATCGGCATATGTAAATTTCAGCTTATAAGCTTCAGCAACTAAAATATTGATTTCTGAGTCCGACCAGTTTTGGGTAGGAAGGTTTTGCAGCATCAACATCAAACCCTAATAGAAGGTTTTTTGTTAATTAAAAATTTTTTAAATTTTTTAATATTATACGATGGATATATTTCTATCTTATTAATAAACAATTTCGTAAATTTACTTGAAAATCAGGTTGAAGAATTAAATGTCTTCGCCATCGCAGGAGAAAGGCTGCACAAACGTACAATTGAAAGGATGCAAAATGATCTGATTCCGCTAAATATGTATCCCATAGTCGTATAGTACAGTGTAATGGAATTTCTCTCGTAAGTAAATTATTCATCCAACGAAATGAAAATTGCAGGTAGTCAATACCGTGATGTTGTAAGTGTTGGTGAAGAGGTGCTATCAGGTAAAAAATTAATATTTTTATTTGGTACAATAAACGTTTTTGTAGTAATTGCTTGGCCTTTTATTAACAATCCTACCATCGATTCGTTGAATAAGTTCTTTTAACTGGTTCACTTTGTGCTGAATACCTAGTTGAGCAAAAATATAATTATCTTGAATTCCGTCAAGAAATTTTGATAAACACCAAAAACTATCCGCTTCTATAATATTACGCTGTCGTTTTGACAAAGACGCAACATCATAATTTTCGATATCCTGCCATTCTGAAACTGGAATTGCTTCTTGGAGAAATACCAAAAAAAATGGTGTAACCAGATCATTCATGCCCTGAAACAATAAGAAATTATTTAATTATATAGTTTTAATAATTATAGAGGTTCTAGCGTGATTTCTAAAGCAATAAAGACGACCTCGAAAAGGGTTCTTAACAAATAGCATTAAATATGAGTTTAGTAGCTTAGATAATGTATAAAAGTAAACAATTTATTTTATCTGCTAATCTGGCAGATAACTATTACAAAAAAGCGTATGAAAATAAATTTTGATATAACGTATGAGGGTAAGTTTTTTAAAGCTTAGTGAAATAGTTAACGAATTAATCATATCACATCTACTGTTAGGAAGTTCAGGTTCTGTAAGGACCTACATTAGAAGCTTATCAAGCCTCATTTTTTTAAAAATTGTTCTTTCCAACCTTATCTTAACAGCTGTACAAATTAATATTGTTAACAGCTCTCAAAAGGCTTGTGAAATTCGTAAATATTTGGATTGGTACAAGAGTCTCCTTAATTTATGTGAAACTTTTAGTAAAGACTCAAAAAATGAAGAAAAAATTTCATGTACATTTTTTACGCAACAGTAGTCATCAGGAAGAAAGTAGCATCATCAAGCTCTGATTTGGGCTGCACTATGTCTATGTTATAACAAAAGGTAATGATTTAATTGTAATTACTATTATTATTCTAATTTTTAAGTATGGTTCTTAATTGTTGAATTACTTTGTTTCTAAACAGTTTATAAGACTAAAATGTACATACTTATGAAACATTTCATCTTTTGTAACATAATTATGTTCTTATTTATGAAACTTTTCTAAAAACATAAATATAGCATAATATTTTACGACAATCTAAGTTTTTCGACGTTTGTATAACACTATTGTGCTCAACAGAAATAATTTTAACGTTCATTTGTTCATTATAATATCATAAATTACTCGTTAAAGTTTGGCACCATAACATGTACAGTTCTCAAGACAGGTTATGTTCAACTTTGTCTCTATTTACGGAATTATCATTAAAATTGGTTATTCATCGTACGTATACTGAAACTTTTCTTGTGAATTCATAAAAATGAATGAAATATACAACTACCACAATTTGTTTATCAAATATGTTGTATAAAAAAAACATGAATTTTCATGTTCCATAAACAGGAACACGCTCCACGATTACAGGTTTTACGGATAAATTTACACGTGATTGTCCATGCATGCACGCGTTTGACGACACATCAGGATATTTTATTTCAATATTTACCTAATGTTGCTATGCATAATTAGATATAGAGTTGCTACCAGTAATGATAAGCTGCAGTAACTATTCCTGTATTCATATGCATACATGCATGAATGCGTCGGCTGAATTATGAATGTTAGTGTATCATATGTATTGTATAAAGGCCAGCTTGGCGAGCTGCTCGCCAGCCAGCCAGCAGCAGTACTGTACTGTACATGTATGAGCATAATTTACAGCCACTAAAGGTGGGAGAAAGAGAATACGTGAGAATGTCGCAGAATTGTGTTACTTTTCAGAAAGTCACTCCCTAAGCCGAGATCTCAAACTTCCCATAAAGCTTCGCTTTAATGATAAGAAATTACTGCTTTGTTTTGTGTCAATTGCCAATTAAATTCATAAAGTCACATTTAAAAGAGAAATAAAATTTATTTTATATGAAAAAGTTTTCATTAATTTATTTGTTCAATTACTCTCATACTAAAAGTGTATTGTGAAAAGTTTGAATAAGTCACTCGATTTGCGTCATTTTGTAGTATTATTCAAAATCGGAGTTTTTTTGTCATTATCTAAGTTTACTTAAGTGAGGTTTATTGAATAATGTACTACAATTGTTGGTATGAAATAGCTGTTGCTTATCAGAGTAACGGTGATAGCCACTTAAAAAAGACTGCTTGGTTTTGTAGTAATTTATTTTTTTGTAAAAATTATTTATTTGATACATATTTACAGTACTTTTATACATTTCTAAATCGATAATTGCTTTAAAGAAGTTGATTCAGACATCACCATCTGTGGAGTAAACTATGTGGGATACCACTTAAAAAAATTGCAGTAATAATTCATGTTTATTAATTAGTCCAGTCTATGGACTGTCAATGTATTTAATTTTTTTCGTGTAATCAGTTTATTCAGAAAAAAACGGCTTATTAATTAACAAATCTGCTAAGAGTTATTCAATGTTTTCAACGTATTTTTGTTAAAGTCGTAGCTTAATCACTTCTTCCTTATTATTCAAATTATTTATTGAATTTTTCTTTAAAAGAAGAAATAACGCGCTCTGACACTTACCGCAAGGTGGTGAGAAAAGAGTATCTTCTTTTTTTTTCATTGTGCAGTTTTATTCATTGTTCATTACATTTTCGATAATTTATCTTGATAATGATGAAAAAAGAAAAAAAGTGCTGTGGACAGGAATCGAAGAGTACCCGGCTGTGAGTTATGCACTAGCAAGTTAGTCTACTGAACCATCGCTGATACGACCAGTATTAGTCATAAGCTGTATTAAAGTTGTCAAAAATGGGTAGAGCTTAAATTCAAGACTAGGCAGGAGGCATTTTCAGAATAATAGAAAAAAAATGAGGCAATCGTAAATATTTATTAATGTGTTTTTTTCTGAGTTTTGAAAGAGTTATTTAATCATGTAAAAAACAAAGTTACCGATAAATAATTTATTATTAATAATGTATTATCGAACCTAAGTATTTAACAAACAGTAAAAAATATCAAAATTATAAATAAGTTACGAATCATACTATAAAAAGAAGAAGTTTATCTATATTTAAAATCGCTTGTAGCTGAGTGTATAGAATACGTGGCTAGTGTTCAAAAGAACGCTGGTTCCAATCTCGAAAAACGTGTTTTTTTTTTGTTTTTTTCAGGATAATTACGTGTAGAATCAAGAATTAAAGTAAAATAAAAAAAATGGGTCGTGGAACCCACGATATAAGTGAAACTTCACGTATCAAATATTAAACTCATTTTATACAGAAAATTACAGGAGAAGCAATTATATGTGTTATTGCTACGAGTTAACTAACTAAATTTCTTTTAATAACATTTAACAAGTAAAAAAAATTTCGTATTTGAAATGGCTGAAAATCATGTTTTCATCAAACCAAATTGTACGCTTCGATTGTTTTTTCCCCTTTAGTAAACCCATTAACTTAGTATTTCCGACTTATGTTGCTTCTCCTTCGAGATATGGTATTTTTTCTAATTTTTTGAGGTTATCTTGTCATGAAAACACTTTAAATTTCTTCGTGCACATCTGCATTAATGATTAAAGTGAACTGCAATTTTTTCGTAATTTGTAACTCCAATTTCATAAAGATAGACCGCAAATACGAATTTGAGGTTATGTTATCATAACAAATGAGACCTCAATTTGTGCGTCTCAATATTTTATTTCCCCTTCAGAATACCCGTAAGAAATCGGTATTTTTGGCCTATCTTGCTTCTCCGTCGAGATATGACGATTTTTCTTATTTTATGAGGTTATATTGTTATAAAAACACTTTAAATTGATTTGTGGACATTTCTATTAATTTTCAAGGTATACTATAATTTTTTCGCAATTTATAACTCATATGTCAGAAAAGTACAACTAAAATACGAATTTGAGGTTATTTAATAACAAATAATACCTCATTACACACACACGCAGGCACACACATACATGTATATATATATATANGATCCCTGTTTGCGGTATCTCATCAGTTTTACTCATATCTGTTGTGTCGAGATCAAAGAAAACGAGAATCGGCTTACAAATCGTAACAATAAAAAGCTCATTGAAGTTCTGTATGTTTGATAACCTTCGCTTATTTTAAAGTCATTTTTTTTTAAAACAAACGTATGATTCACACATTACTCACGAAGTTCGTTGTATAGTGTTTGAATTTCTCGTATTTGCCCTAAGAACATGCGTTTGCAATTTAAAATCTCAAAACTTTACTTTATAAGATCTTTTATCTGCTTGCTCTTTTAAAATATCAAAACGTTTTGTTCATATGAGATGCTGTTCGGGATAAATAAAATGTACTTGTGACACGAGAAACATATGGTTTGCCATGATTTTTTCTAATCACAGTCACAGCCATCTTAAAATATACAGTATCCATTGTGATGGCGTGCGTGCCGATGCGGATTTACGAGATGGAATTATCGACCTTAACCAGGCCTGTGTTGCTGGGATACCCTCGGTGACACTTCCTATAAATGATACGCAGGTCTCGTCTGCTGAGACACCGGTGTGGCTAAATATCGCGGTGACTTGTGATATCGTCGCTTCTCGCAACTATCCTAAACACAACACAGGGGAAAAAATCAGACACACTATAAAATAAACCCCTCCTGACAAATCTGACCTGACATCTCAGGTGAGATTTCTGAAAGAAAAAAAAGAAAAAAATTTATGCAACGATTATAACTTAAACATCCTTAGAATGATTACCTAAGATATCAACAGTTATAGGAACAAAGAAAAAAAATGGGTGGTGGGACCCATGACAGAAGTGAAACTTCAAGTATCAAATAATTAACTCATTTTATACAGAAAATTATATGAGAAGCAATTATATGTGTTATTGCTACGAGTTAACTAACTAAATTTCTTTTAATAACATTTAACAAGTAAAAAAAATTTCGTATTTGAAATGGCTGAAAATCATGTTTTCATCAAACCAAATTGTACGCTTCGATTGTTTTTTCCCCTTTAGTAAACCCATTAACTTAGTATTTCCGACTTATGTTGCTTCTCCTTCGAGATATGGTATTTTTTCTAATTTTTTGAGGTTATCTTGTCATGAAAACACTTTAAATTTCTTCGTGCACATCTGCATTAATGATTAAAGTGAACTGCAATTTTTTCGTAATTTGTAACTCCAATTTCATAAAGATAGACCGCAAATACGAATTTGAGGTTATGTTATCATAACAAATGAGACCTCAATTTGTGCGTCTCAATATTTTATTTCCCCTTCAGAATACCCGTAAGAAATCGGTATTTTTGGCCTATTTTGCTTCTCC